GAAGACCAAGAAGAACGCGTTTAGAAATCAGAAGATCTATTAAATGATAATCAAATAACTTTATTAGTCCAATAATCATGTGAAGCTCAATGTTCAATCAATCTGTGGAATAAGAATATTAATTACTTGATATTATAATCCTATGACAGTATATAATAAGAATTAACTTGGTACAGAAGCACTAGACACTCCTATCACACATAATGATAAAATAACACGACACATTCTTTTTGTCTCTCCAATCAGAGCTTTCCTTTCTGATGTGTGGCGTGATCTGTGCAGTATTTATTTTGTTGTCAAATTCTGATTCAACCATAAATCAAAACATATGAATTATAAAACTAATTCCCACATCACCCTTAGCTCAGTTCAACGTTCTAGAGTTTCGAGCCGGCCACTCGTAAATTTTAACCACAAAGAACCTTGACAAGCGGGATAATAAAACCTGTTGCAAGCTACACCTGATGCAACACTCCTTCAGAGTAAAAGCTGAACTCACTGACCTTTCAGGGTCCCGCCGACGCTGTCAAACACCTGTTGCTTACCTGGAGGCAATCCCAAGACTAGTCTGTCGTTCCGTACGCTGTTTCACCGGAACCGGTACCAAAGGGGGGTCCGAGGACCTGTCATTCTGGATCTACAACGGAGGTCTCCGTCAAGGAAATGTAGATCGGCAAGATAGCGTCTGAATGTGGTTTTGAAACTCCGACTATAGTTTAGAGCAAAAAATTTGCTCCCACACAGAACTAATGCTTCTCCGAAAACGAGAGTTTTGATAACAACATTACACCATTCATCTTGCCTCATTCACACCTAGATCCATTCATCACACTGAGTGTTTAGAGTTAGTTAGCCTTATTTTAAATTGTTTAGAAATAAATATTCTTAAACTTTAAAACCTCTCTCTCTCTCTTGACTCTGGGTTAATACGAAGTGTTACCTAATCCCTGCAATAAAAAGTTCTGATCTTCTGTTTAAAGTAATATTCAAAGATACATCAAATTGATTTCATATTTTCTATGGAATCTCATCTTTGATTGTTTCCTATGTAAGATGTAACTATTGGCTCATTACACTATATATAAGATAAATTACTAAATGTGTGCACCCATTGGTAACATCTTAAAATATTGCAACAAAATGAAATGATAAACAAGCAAGTGTAGAAAAATATTTAAATAATACTAACACTGAAAAATGGCTGGAGGAACCTCCACAGTGCTCCAGGGCAGCTGTGGCCACATTGTAGCTCATCACCATCAGTGTGTGAATCTGTGTGTGAATGCATGGATGTGCCCCCACTTTTTCCAAAGTAAATTTCTGTCCCCTGCGTTTTTTTACCGTCCAAAAACATCATTACGCTCTATTAAATAGACACTGGATGAGTACTAGGACCAAGCAGAATGAGTTGTGTTGAAGCCTGTTTCCCATTAGAACCATCTATAAGCTCAACTATTGGCTCTGCTGAAACTCGCTTACGTGTGATTGGCTGTTCCTGCCACCTGTCTACATGACAGTTCTGCAATCCTCCAGACTGTAGTTTTATACATATTATTTGTATACTTACTGTATACCGGTCCTCATGCTGGTTGTGTGCAAAGGCATGCCCATGCTGACGGAGAAAGAGCATTTGCGGCAAACACCAATTAAGATGTTCTTTAGGCAACGCTTGTAAGCCTCCATGACCGGGTTAGTGCAGGGCTTCCAAATAGTCTGCCTTTTAAGACCAGGCTTAAAACGTTTTTATTTGTGTAATGGGGTGAAAACCTTGCACACACAGCTCTAACACTGTGCTATTCAATGCTAGAACTAGGATGACACAAACTAGTTAATATATGAAGCGTCTATCACATATCAATATAAAACATTCATATATGCGATAGAAGATCATACACCAACGAGCTTGGTCTATGATTAATCTACGGATTAATACTTAATTTAAGATACTTAAATTAATAGCAAAAGTGTATTTACTTAACAGAAGATTCAGTAAGATTCTTTTCATTCGATAAATGGAAATGCAACCCTTTCTGTGTTTCGTTTCAATAATGAGGCAAGTTTAAAAATGAAGAAATTTTATTACTAACAATTTTAAACTAAGGATTTGAAGCGACAATTATAAAATGACAATTCATGGATGGCATTTTTAATGACAATCTTTTACAGTTTTGATATCAAACTTGTTTAAAAGCAAACCTGTGACTGAATGGAGCTAAAATGAGAAGGACGAGTTTTGGATGCGTGAATGAAGTTCTCAGAAGGTTTCTTTCAGAGAGAATGAAAGCGTTCTGGGTGAAAATGATGTTTTGCGGATAACTAAGTTATTTTGAGAGAAACAGCATCAAACGCATTCTGTCGAGGTCTACCTCACCCAATCAGAAGACCCCCGTTTGGATCCCAAGTGTCCAGGTGGAGATGGGTTTCCTCCAGGCACGAGGTTGGTAGAAAAACCTCTAGCACGACCAGATCGGTCCTGGGACGTCTTCTTGGGTTACTCGGT